ATCATCAATATTAAGAATAAAAATATTATTTAATTTTTCTTTAAAATATTGATTTATATTATTTTTATGATTTTTTTTCAAATTTATCATATTTGAATATAATTTTGAATAACTTAATATACAATATAAGTCATAATTTTGAAAATTAATTTTATTATTATAATTTTATCAAAAATTATTTAAAAAATTATAAAAATTTGAAATAATATTTTTGAAAACCTATAGTTTAAGATTACTTAAGACTGTTTTCAAATTTTTCTTTTATTTTTATTTTTAAATTTTATATTTAATATAAGTTAACAAAATTGATAAATTAAAATCACCAAAGTTTTATATATATCTATATATTAAAAAAATTGAGCGACATCAATCAAGCTGTGGCACAGGTGGCGTATGTTCTTATATACGATATGTATTGAAAAATATACTGAGATATAATATTGATTTAAGACCGAAGCATTATTATATGCATGATAAAGAATATGCGCTACTTATTCTATACTCAGATTGATAACTTTTTTTAATATATAACGTTTAACACTATATAGTTTAATAAGTAATGGTAAGTTAAGATTAGTCTAATTGCATCATTGATAAAAGTTTAATGCTAAGTCTAATGAGTAAGAATAAATCTAATTACGTAGTAACGTAATATTATGTATCAAAATTACAGTTCGATTTTAAATCTAAAGTTTGATGCTAAAGTTAAATAAGCTGCGATATAACTATTATGTACGAAAATGCAGTTCGATTTTAAATTTTAAATTCCGTAATTGAAAAATATTGTGAATGAATTATTATACATAACATATCTCCAAAGTTTCTTTGCGAACCATTTATCGTGACTATACTTTTAAAAATAATTAGATCGTAGTTAGAATTCTAGACGATAGTTTTAAAATATAAAGTTTATTGCTAAAGTCTAATAAGTAAGAATAGGTCTAATTACATAGCAACGTAATATTATGTATCGAAATTGTAGTTTGATTTTAACTCTAAAGTTTAATGCTAAAGTTTAATGCTAAAGTTTAATGCTAAAGTTTAATGCTAAAGTTTAATGAGTAAGAATAAATATTGCGAATTAATTATTATATGAAAAGTATAAAGTTGTTCTCTTTACCTTTATCATGACTGTCCTTTTAGATAATAATTAGAATTCTAGACGATAGTTTAAATTTGTTATTTAAAAAAATCAAAATTTACCTTTGCGATTATTCAATTAATTGATCTAATTTAAAAATGAATTCAAATACACGATTTGAACAATTCACAACCGAAGCCCTTCGTGAGCACAAAAACCGTCTAGGACGAGAGCAATATGCAAGGCGTATGATACATGCTGATGAGAAACCTGTCGCTGAAGGTTCAGAAAGTCTTCGTGAATGTAGAAACCGTCTGGCAAGAGAAGCCCATGTTCATCGTCTTGCAAAAGAAAACATTGATGAATCTGAACAATGTCGAAATATCCAAAGACAAGCACTTGCAAAGAGAACCACTGAGCAAGTTGAGTTACGTAGAAAAAAACAAAAAGAATATAAAAATCGTATCTCTAATGCAGCACGTATTGAGAATTATAATACAAAGACTGTATCTTTACATAATATTGGAAGTATAAGTATTGAATGTCCGGAATGCAAAGCATTACATTGGATAGATGAGAAAGTGACAGGATCTCGACATACTCCAATTTTCAGCACCTGTTGTGCAAAAGGCAAGGTGAAACTACTTGCCATTGCTTCACCACCTGAATTATTAGAAATGCTTCTCACAGAAGAAAGTCCGCAAGCACATAATTTTCGAAAAAAGATTCGTATGTATAATTCTATACTTGCATTTACTTCCATGGGTGCCAAATCGATGAACGTGTTATCGGAACACAGGGTGTATACAATTTTTGTATTCAAGGAGAAATACATCACTATATCAGTTCTCTTATACCTGAAAATCAAGATTCATTCAATCAGATTTATATGTATGATACAAATGATCAGTTATAACAAAGACAATTATTAATGCCAAACCTAAATCCAACAACACTTGCGCAACTTCAAACAATGTTACATGAAGTTAATCCTTATACACACATCTTTCGAAGAGAAGCTCATGTTTTACAAGAAAATCCTATACAAGATTTAAAGATTGTTATTGTCAAAACTAGACATGAATATCAATATACAATACCTACTGCATCAGAAGATTAATTATATAAAATTACAATTATTATTATATATAAATTCTTTTTTATATAATAGTATAATATTATATAAAGTCAATTTAATAGTCAAAATTAATAGTAAATTTTTATTATAATATTAAAACCTAACCCGTCATTTAATGACGGGTCCATTATCTAGTTTATATATAAAAATATAATATAAAAATGATTTTTTTAGTAAAAAAACATAATAATTTAAAAACTATTTTTATTTATTACACAATGAAAATTATTTATTTTATATAAAATTCTATAAATCACTTATTTATAACCTAAAAAAAAAATTTATTTAAGCTTTTTTATAAAATATCTTAATAAAATATGTTAAAATTATTTTGTAAATATAAAATTTTTTAAATTTTTCAATATAAAAAATTAATATAAAAAAGATTTTTTATATATAAAAAAATTTATATTATTTTTATTTTATATTATTTTTTATTTTATAGAATGGCATTAGATATACTGGTTTTTATTAAGTGATTATCAATTTATACACATATATATCGAACATCCTTTATTGTATTACAATAACTAAATACTAACCTATCTACTTATTACTCTAGCAATATTAGTAATACTTATTAAGTAGGTTCATATTTTTGGGGAACCTATTTAGAGAATGGAAATCCTATCACTAGTTTTAAACCATCCAACCTATCGGTCCAATTTGTAAAAGGACAAAAGATACTGTTAACTATTTCCTAAGTCACTTATTACATCATACCTTTCCATCCACACAGTTGATATAGCAAAGAGGTTTCGATATCTTAGGGGAGTGCCAGAAAACACGTGATAAAATTTTACTAAGAGTCAACCCCCCCCTCCCTTGTAATCCTAACTATAATTGGCTGATAGCATATTATAATTTGATAATGCAAAGAAAGAGAAATAGATAAGTAATTCTTGAA